TTATGGAGCACTTTAAAATATGATACATATTTCAAGGGTAATGAAAATAATCCTCAAAAATATTTTTTTTCTAAGAAAAATAAAAGCAAACAATTATTAACAACTTGAGGTTTATTTAGGCCTCATTAACTTCGTAGATTCGAGTTTTCAATTCGAGTTGAGATGTGATATTTTTTTAAAATTTTTTACTGTAACAAAAAAAATTAAATGTGATATTTTTTAAAAACTTTTTATTATAAAAATTTAAAATTAAAAACTCGTCTTAATAAGCATCTTAATGCTAAAAGCAAGATTTGACAAAAATAAGACGCACAATGGCCCACTGAGAAAATGACCGCCTCACAGTCACAGCCCTCTTCTGATCTGTACAGTGCGTCTCAAACTGGCATTTGGCAGTACAAGACGGGTTGTGATGGATATTGTTCCCCAGAGTTGAATGACAAGGAGAAGCTGTGCACGGAGAAGTGCCAATACCATTGGTTATTGGAAAATTCAAAAGCTGTTGTAAAATGGGTTGCAGACAGAGTACACAAAAATGATATTTTGAAAATTTGTATAGAATTTTCTCTGTTCAGTGAATCTAATTAAAATTAAATTAGATTAAAAAGATATAAAAAATAAATAATTTTGATATAAATTTAATGGGTGAAAATGAAGAGTTACAAGTATTTTTTTTTAATTATACTAAAAAAACTTCTAATTTTTATGATATAATTGATATATTTTGTCGCCCACATTTTTTAACCATCACATTTTAACTTATTAAAATACTTAATTTTAGAATGATGTGGCCACTAAAAGGTCCACTTAAATTTGATATGATAATTAAATTAAAAATATGCGTATTAATAAGTTAAGTTTTTTTAATAATTAAATTTGTGTATTTTTTTACGTGATTTTTTATAAATTTAATAGATAAAAAACTTAACATATTGATATGTTAGCGTACTGAAAAATGTTCTTAAAATTTAATTGGTACATGGGTTTGTTTTTTGTTAAGAGAAGTACGTGAGGTGTTGTTCTGGATGTACATTCATCTAAGTTAAGTTAAAGGACGATTTTTAAAGGATAATAAAATTTGAACGCATGAGAGTGGTAAACCTCATTCAATGATAAACTAACAAATGCCTTGACCTTTGGGGTCCTTGACCCATGAAATTAACCAAAATTTGACATGTTTAGTTCGTTGATTCGAATTAAGATGTGATTTTATATAAATACTTTTTACTATAATAATAAATGCGACTGTTTCTGAGAGTTTTTACTGTAATAAAACTCAAATTTTAAACTCAAATTAGTGAAATGAACGAGCCATAAAAGATAAATAAACTTACCTCTCAATAGTAACAGATTTTTGGCATGTTTCAAGTAAGCCATAAAAGATAAATAAAAATATTGGAAAACTGTACAGTTTAGAATATTGGACTGCCATGAACCAAACTATATATTGGTGACTTAACGATGCCATGATAATCTTGGGATCCTAACTATAAATGTGCTCTCAGTACGACATACAGGGAATTGTAAGCCCTACTCTGAATGCTGTTGGGCGACAGAGGTATCCAAAGCATTTACATTGACCGAATTAAATAAGCTTAGCCATATTAGAAAGTACTTACACCGACTAAAATTTGCATTTTTATATTTTCTGAATTTGTCTGATAAGTACTTTCATCTACCAAGTAATTGTCTAGTCCGGTAGTAAAGAAACCAGACAGTGATGTTTGGTAGAGAGATTCATTTTTTAATTTGAATCATAATTTGTGATTTATTACAGTATTTTTTCTTATAAAAAATACACGTAAATTGAAAATGGTTTGAATCCTCCAACCAAACGTAGAGATAGTTTGGAGTAAGAATTCGTGTCATGATTCAGATCATAGTTCGTGACTCGTTACAATATTTTTTCTCATAAAAAGCACACGTAAATTGAGAATAGTTCTGAATTTATAAATCAAACGTCCTCTAATTTTTAATTTTGACATTTAAAATTTAAATTTTTTATGAGAAGAAAATATTATAGCAGAATTAAAATTATGAATTTAACGCATGAAACAAACGAGCCCTTAAAAAAAATCATTATTATTTTTTGTGGGTGGAGTTTTATATATTTTGGAGTACGCTTGATTTTTCCTATTAGGAGGATAGGATTTAAATTTTATTATTTATTATTGTATCTTAATAAGTGTCTGCCTTCTCTCTAAGGACGTTTGGTTGGAGGATTCAAATCATGTGATTCGAACCATTTTTGATTTACATGAATTTTTTTCTGAGAGAAAATACTGTAGCGAACCATGAATCATGATTCGAATCATGGAACGAATCCCTCTACCAAACATAAAATATTGGAATCCAAAATCCTAACTTTGTCCATAAGATGAATATTGAAACTTATCAGAACATATAATTTTATTACTTCTTTTTTTGTTAATAATTTTATTACTTCATTAGTTGACTTTTCACTCATATGATGATAAGTAGCTCATTTAACCTTTGGCCATCTCCGTTTTCTAAGAGAAAAATGATGATTCGATTATTTTTGGCTAAAATCATTTGCCAAACTTTTTCAAATCAATTGTAGCATTGGGTTCCTTTTCTGTCCAAAGGACAATCTAAATTTCTAAAAATGTGGACTTTAATGGATTTTTTTTGGGCGTCTTTTGAGGAAGTACATAAATCCAAAGATCTAAAAATTATTAATCAAGAAAAAGTCAAAACCACAGTAAGATTGGACTTTTATGGTTTCTTTAGAGAAATTTGAAATTCATTGTCTAAATCAATAACACCACATTTATTTCACTTGAAAAAATGGCAACTGCATGAATCTTATTTGTCTTTTTTAAGTATGATAATTATAAAAATACTCCATATTTTATTAAAATTATTAGTTTTTACCTTATAAATGAGGTAAAAACTTGTTATTCCACAAACTATAGATACATGTGTGGGCTAGAATTTTAGGTCCCGTTTGGTTGTAGGACTCTGATCAAAAGATTAGAATCATGTGTTGAAATCTCTGTTTGGTGTCGTATGGACTAGAGTCATAGACTTGAATCACGGGCATTTTTTGGGTCCTGATTCAAAATCAGCCCCTCCTCTGATTCAGCTCAAAACTATAATCCTTGCACAGTAATGACACTGTTCTCTCTGGAGTTAATCGCTGAGAGTTCAGAAAAAAGCGGTGTCCTCAGTTTTTTTCCATTTATTTTTTTTTACTACGTTTATATACAAAATCTCCTTCATCTTGTTGCTCAAAATTTTATTTTCCTTTTCAGTTTCACTCTCTTTTCTCGTTCCCTGATCCAATCCTCTCTTTAATTCACCTGCTCTATGTATCTACCCTGTCTCTATCTTTTCTCCTCCACAAATGAAGGTTTTTTTTTTTTTAAAAGAAATAAAATAAAAGCTTGCCAGATTACGATTACTAGAACATGGGCTAAACTAAAAGGGTTTTTTTTTTTTTTTGTTTTTAAGAAATAAAATAAGAACTTGCCAGGATTACGATTAATAGAACATGGGCTGAAAGGGTTTTCTTTCTTTTCTCTGTTTTTGTTTCCGTTTTTAGTTCAGCTTTTGTTTACTGGGTTTTCTGAAGTTGTGATGTTTACTGGGTTTTCTACTATAGCTCATACTTTTTTCTTGTTTTTTTAAGTCTGTGTTCTCTTTTTTAATGGGTTAGTTCTGATGATCATCGCTACCAGACAAAAAGATGGGAGTTTTTTTTTTCTTATTTAAATATAATTTTCAGTAAGATGGGAGTTATTTTGTAAGAAGACGAATAATTTTTTAAATTATATTTATTTTAGTCATGATTCAAATTCAGAAAACGAGATAATTAAACGTTGGTTCGAATCATATTTTAAGTTAGAATTAAAATTATGCATATACACATACAAACGAAAGTTCTAATCACTCTGAATCATGATTTAAATTATGAATCATGATCCTGAATCAAATGACTCAAATCACCCTGATTTTAATTCTTATACCAAACGAACCCTTAATAATATATAAGCAGGTGAATGAAAGGAATAAAATTGATATTCAAATATATTATTTTTACGAAAATTAAAACCTAATTTATGCATAAAAATGGTACCGGCATGCAAGTAGAATTAAAAAATGATTTTCAACTTTATTTACAATATATAAGCATACAAATAATTATTGTATCAAGTTTCTATATTTTTTTCACTGTAACAAAAATTTTAGAGCTTACTAATACATTTTCTTTTTTTACTCTTAACTGTGAGAGAGGTATGAACCCTAAACACATCTTAAGAAGAAGCTAAAAAAAAAAAAAAAAATCCCTAATGGACTACACTGGTCTGTCAGTGGAAATCCACCCCAATTTTGTAACGTAAGGGGGAGAGGGGCTGAAATTCCCTTATTGCCCTACTATGACCGTTTGGGTAATCCCACTATTTTTTTGAAATTCTGCAGAGAGCGGGACCCATCCTATCCACTTGCAAAGAAAACGAGAAACAACGGTCAGTGGCAATCTCGCAAATTCCTCCAAACCCAAGGGCAAACTCAATCAGCGCCGAAATCTCAGAGTCCTCGAAGAAACGACAGGCATCTCGTCGCCCGAAAACCCCAGCTCGGAAAACGATAACACTGCTCCTCGGCTCCTCCATCGGGAGACAGCGAAATGACAGTCCTGTCCGCGATCCCCGTTCAAATTTAAGACCCAAAGCGCACCGCTGAGCTCACCGATATCAGAAAACGACATGGGCATAAAAGTCATTTGAGATTAAATAACATTTTCTGAAATTCAAAATTTCGGATCCTCACTGTGACTTTGGAAGCTACAAAACGGAAAAGGATTGGGTCGTATTGTTACTATCGCAACGACTAGTATCATATAAAGCGCATTAATGTAGTTGTACTCTGTGCTATGGAGTATTGTACCTTCAGTTTATAGAGACTCATATATATATTTATATTAAAAAAAGAAAAAAAAAATAGTTCTTCGAAGCTCTCTCTCTCTCTCTCTCTCTCTCTCTCGTGTCGAGCTTTCTCTGCTGTTTAACCGGAGCTCGGATTTCCCGATTTAGGGTTTTCGCCGGTCCGATTTGGAACCTCCATTTTTGATTCTTCTTCAAGCTCTGTTTCTGCGAAGGTTGATTCTTGATTGTTGGACACTGTTGTGGTGTTTGGCTTTGGGCTCTGGTTCGTTCGCGTGCGGCTCTGGCATTTTAGAGAGAGGGCGAAAGCGAAAGCGAAGTTTTTTTAGAGAGAGAGAGAGAGAGGATGGAGATGGAGGAGGATATGGAGGTGGAGCCGGTGTTCGAAGCTCACGAGATCGACCTTGAGTACGAGTTCGAAGCCGCGAGGTACTTCGATTTCACGCGGGAGGAGACTCCGGTGGAGGCTCGGGAAGCGGAGAATTGGTTCGAGTCGGCGAATAGCTATCCGCCTTCTCGTGAGTCGTTTTGCCAAGTTTTTCTTCATAATTTCTGCTTTGGAGACCAAATTTCTCGACTTTTTTTGTTATCGTTTGATTCATTTTGTCTTCTCTTGAAAAAGAAGAAAAAAATCGGTGCTTTTCGGTTACCGCATTGTTGATTTCAATCTATCTGTAAGAGAGAATGTTCAAAAAAAAAAAAAAAAAAAACTAATTTTCGTCTTTCCTCTTGTATTTCAGCTTTTGCGACGAAGTTGGTTCTAGGAGAGGACATTCTCCTGGAAAATGTGAACATTTCTCCGAAAGCGGAGAGAGAAAATCAGAGTTCTACGCTTTACGGTGGTGGTCATGTTGGTGGGGGCCAAGACTTTTGTTCAAAGGATGTAAATAATAGAGGTATTCGTATGATTGAGAATGTTTAGGCAAAAAGAGTAGTTGATCCATAGAATAGATTTAGATAGTACTGTCCATTCTTTTTTTTGTTTTCACATTTTGCGGTTTTATCATAGTTTTTAAGCCTAAATTATTGTCCCTGATGTACTAGATTGTGAAGCAATGGAAAGAGGGATCTTTGGCAATTTACAGAAAGTTCTGAATCAACCACATGGAGCATCTTCAGGTTTTCAAGTTGATGAATTTTTGGCCCAAAAAACGCGTATTATTTGCTTACCTGCTTGATTAGTTAAAAAGGGGTTGTTTGAATACTTGCTTGTATATCAACGTGCTTTATCTTTCTGCATTGTTTTTGAACTTTTTACGAGCTGCAAACTGTTGAAATATTTCAGCTCTTATATAACGTGTATCCGCCATAGTTTAACGAAGTTATTCAGAAATATTAAGTAATTACGTTTATTTGGTCAAAGTTGTACTGTAATTTGCTTATGCGATTTGTATTTTTATTTTTTTTTCACTTTACAGGATTATACAATTACTTATTCAATTACAAACCAAAAGGTAAAACTAACCCTTCTACCAAGAAGTCTCTTCCAAGGAGCTCAACTTTATTGAAGCCAACAGCAAGTCAGCTGGCTAAGCAAAATCGACCCCCTCAAGTTGGCAGTTCCAGGTACCAACAAGTCAACTTGTATTGAAGCTCGACATAAAAGTTGGCAGTTCCAGGCCCTATTGTTTTCTTAATATCGTGGTACTCTTGGTTTTTTAGATTTCAGATGCCACTGGTTCACAATTCTGAGAAGAGCTTGTGTAGTCTTTCTGGACCGGAAAGCCAGGCTCCCAAGAGGCAAAAGCTAGAGGCTGGTCACTTACGTAAGGTGCAGAGATTGTGTCGTTAGTGATTTGTACTGAGAAATTTTGACTTTTCTATAGTTTCTTAAATAATTAATTCTCTCTAGTCTAGATGCTAGAAATTGCTCATAGGCATATTCTTTATTCACACATGAGCCAGAAAGTTGTTTGTAAAAATAAGGTTGTCGTTGGCTCAGATTTCTTCCTTATTTCAGGTCACCGATGAAAAGCAGCAAACTAATTTTGTCCACAAGATCGCTAAAAAGGTATGTAATGCCACTCAAATTGTATCACATACTTTGATGGAATCCTACAGTTTTACACGTTTGTCATTTATTTAGCCCAGTTAACCTTACCATTAAGACTTTTCTCTTTCATAAATTTCCACGATAATTGTCACTGTTGTCCTCATACTGATTTGACTGTTGGGAAGGAAGTTTTTTTTGGTCTTTGCTCAACACTAGGTAGCCTACCTCAAAATTGCATTCATGTATCTGAATTTTTTATTTGATATGTATGATCTGCGTTATGCTATTTTCTTTTGGAGTTTTAAACATGAAAGTGAAGCAAAGAAAGCGCATAAGTGTGTGCCCATGTGGTCTTGCAGGATGACACTGTGTTATCTGAAACTGTTGATAAAGTCTCTGCACATGCCAAGTTGAAGCTTACTATACCGAGAGAGCCTGAACTTAAAACAGCACATCGAGCAGAAAGAATGAGGTTAGCATGTCTATGCTGTACATTTTGTTCCGGATTCACTACACAATCTAGTCTAGCAGTGTGGTAAAATTAATTCATTTCATCAATATCAGGCCTAGGAGTGTTACAGAAGTGGAGCAAGTGACGACAGCTGTTCGTAGATTCAAAGCAAGACCATTAAATAGAAAAGTCTGTACTTAAAACTCTATTTCAATTAGCAAAATTTTCTCATTATGTTTTGCCTCCTTACTGTTTTTTGTCTTAACGCAGATTTTCAAAGCCCCTTCATTGCCACTACCAAAAAGGAGTACTCCAAAATTGCCAGAATTTCAAGTAAGTGCTTTGATACTTATTTCGTGATTGTTGCTTAACAATACTTTTATACTTATTTTGTGATTGTTGCTTAACAATACTTTTACATTTTTCCCCATGCCATGACATCTTTACCCGTAGAAGTGGCCAAAAAAAAAAAAAAGTGTTAGCAAACTGAAGTTTCTAGTGTAGAATTTTCCACTTACATTCTCTTCCTCTCATGGCCTTTTAGGTGTTTCACCTGAAGACAATGGAAAGGGCCATGCAAAATGTGTCTACCGCTTCATTCTCTAATACTTGCAACGACACTGACAAGGTTGTTTGCTAGCTAGAATTAATGTTTTGCGTTGGTCTAGGTTCAAAGTGTTCTTCTTCATCGCTTCAAATCTATAAGTTATGAGAATCTTTGTAAATTTGTAGAAGCGAAGTATATGACTAATTATTTGATGTAATAAATTCATTGCAGGGGCAGGACAAACCCAGTACTTCTAATATGGTAGAAAATGCAAATAAGGAATCCAGAAGGTAATAAAACAAATTATTATTTAGTTATTATTTTTAAATTTGAAAGAAGAGATATATGCACTCTGCGTTGTAAAATTGCCGGTCACATGAGAAATAACACCTCAAAAATTACGCTGCTTTGCTTAGGCCAATTACCTTAGAAGCTCTAAAGCAAGATGGAGCTGTAATGCACAAATTCAAAGCTCTTCCTCTTAATAAGAAGGTATTGCAATGCATTCTCAGTATTGTTAGTCTTATTTGAAGCTCGTTCTAGGTATTATCAAAGATGGTTTATATTTCCTATTCAATGCAGATATTTTCTAGTAAAGGAGACATTGGCGTTTTCCGGAATAGCAAGCGAGAACCCACAATACCAATGGTAACTCAGAGATGTTTACACTTTCCTCGTCGCTATTTGCTTAGATTACTGATTGAAAGAAATATCTAAGCTAGTAACGTGCTTTGAATTCTATATAGGAATTTAATTTCCAAACCGAGAGAAGAATTCAGCATAACCCACCAACAGATCTTTTCAGTAAGGTATGCATGGCATCAAGTGATGAGTTCTTTTTTATTCTGTCATACCAAGTATTCATGATATCTTTATGTCAAATGCCAGCTTTCTCTGACATCTGAACTCCAGCCAAACAACAGGTCTCACCCGAAATGGCATCAGTCCAATTCTTCATCTGCAAAGGTTATTTTTGCCTTTCTTAGATGATCTTTTTCAATTCAATTTGCCTATTACCATGCTGAGTTATTCAATTTTTTGGTACAAGGGTTCAAAAGAAAATAAATTGGATTCTTTCCAGCCAGAAAATAAGGTAAATTCTACAAAGAAGAATCGGTTCTTTAAGTTATTGTGATCCTTCTTTCTCTCTCCAGCATCAAGTTTTCCTCTTTTGCAACCCTTATGCTATTCATTTGAATTGTTGCTTATGCAAGTAGTGTTTTAACCTTTCCTTGTATCACATATGTCATTCATATTTACGCACTGCAGGTAACAGACCCCATGATCGATAAAACTTCAATATTTGGTCGAAAGCAGACCCCATGTGGGAGTGATGGGGGCATCTCTGAAATTAGTAACAGATTGCATACAAGGTATGCCAGCTCAATGAAGGCAATTCTGCTAAAACTTTTCTTTCCCTTTTCTTTCGTTGCTTTAAATTCTGGTTTAAACCTTCTTACATTGAAACCGAAACAGGAGGATGGGTATCCTTTGAGAGTAAAAGCCGACAAGATTCTTAAACTGGCTTCTGCATAGGCAACATAATCAGGTTTTCGTATGTTCTGCTGGAGGCAAAGGTTAAAATAGATGCATCATGAATGATTGCGCAGAACAACTCAATCCAAGTCCATCCGGCCGTTTTTTTGTATATGGAAATTGATCGAAGTCCACATAATCTTACCATTGGGATTAACCCCATACATGTGGTGCTAAACTTAGTACTGAATACATATCCTTCAAAAGTTGTAGCTTTCTGTTCAAATCAATAATATGCTCAAAAGCCTTTGTTGTACAGCAATTATGAACCCCGTCACATTGTAGCTTTTCTTTTCACCTTTTTTTACCATCTTTTTCCTTCTATCCTTTCCCCCTATATTTTCTAGACATGAAAATGTCAAGTAGTTCAGGAACAAGCGCGCCCACTCGCACACAATACTATCATGTTCCTCTCCGTGATAAAATAGAATTTTTGCAGCCATTCCTAATTTACATTTTACAGTTGGGATAGCAACAAGATTTCTAAGTGTTCTATTAAAATATTTGCCGTGTTTGAAGTTAGTTTTGTTTTTGCTTTTCACGTTTTTTGAGAAAGAAAAAATGAAACGGGAGAGAAACGTTGTTTGACACAATTAAAGACAAAAAACGGAAATGAAAACAATTTTTTAGTTTAGTGTAAAATAATAGAGAAATGAAAAATGAATTTTAATCGTTTTTTAATTTTTGTTTACGTTTTTTCCCTTTTTAAGCATAGAGAGACATTAATTAATTTTTTTTTTGTATTGAAAATAATTTCTTAATAAAATTGTCAAACGTATTTTAAAAAATAATTTTTGTTTGAGATTGAAAACATTTTTATTTTTATTTTTATATAAAAAATAAAATTATTTTAAAACGAGTTTCAAACGCACCTATTGTATTACACTTTATACTTTCAGGAATGTTGTCATTATCCCCTACGTTTCATAAGTCATGTAAAGACACTATCCCATACATTTTATAATTCATGTTAAAAACCTGTCAGAAGGATAAGTGCAACATTCTTTACAACATTCTTTATGCGTCGGCTAACTACTTGATTACGTCCTCTTAATTTGATGGACAGACTTAATTATACCAATCAAAGTCTTTAACTTATTCAAGGCAGAAAAAGAAAATGGCCTAAAAGGACTTGCATGGCATGGCATCCAACGCGTCACTGCCCTAGCCTTAGCAAAACCCAACGTAGCTGAGGGAACATGTAATGAGCATATGTATTCAGTACTAAGTTTAGCACCACAGGTGGTGCATTAATGTTATATGGACACCATGAGAGATATAAAATGGAAAATAGGTCCCACTAAGTATAGTCCCACCTACCTACCTTGTGGAACCCACTTTACATAAATAGTGGGGATTTTAACCATGGGGATATATACGAGTGCTCATACAATATAATCGTCGTGTATGTTGTACTATTAGCATCACTAATGCTCTCATATTTTTCTTACTTTGTCTCCATTAAATTGCTCTATGAATACAACATCGTGAGCATTATGGATTTCTGATCTTCCAAAAATGATCTTCGTGGAATCATGGTTTTAATTTGTGATTAATTCGGTACGTGAAAATAGCATTGCATAACTTGTTTCTTCTGATTATGGAGGAATCATTAGCCTTCTTTCTCTGCATCAAATTGCTTTCTAACTGAGTTGTTCTTGGTGAGAGCCTGCTTTGTCCAGCGCTTAATATCATAGGCTCTTTTAAAAGGTTTCTTCTCCTTGGCAAGCCTTCTCTTTGTTATCGCAATCGCCAAGTCATTCGGAAACAATGTGCGCCATACAAAGGCATGGAGAAGAGTCGAAACAAATAACACAGACACCATTGCTGATGACACGAAAGAAAGAGTAAGTGCGAGGCCTTTGGTTAGAAACGAAGGGACATCTTCTGCATACTTGATGGTAGCTACAGAGGCAGTTGTCATTGGAAAGGTGTAAGACCACCACGCCACTGAAAACCTGCCAACAGTTTTTAGCCAATTTGGAAACTTAGAAATTGTAGGATGCTAAATTACAAAATGAATAAAATCCTTTTTTTTTTTTTTTGTGGTAAACAAAAAAGAAGGGGGTTTATCAATGTCTCTCATCCCTTGATACTCAAAACTTCATTCATGAACTAGAGGGATTTGAATTAATTTTACTCGAAATATCAGGCCAGTTGCACTCTCATCACCACAAGTCCAATGTTATATGTACCATTGGCATCAAACCATATGGGTCATCCTAGAGGAGGAGAAGAAAAGATATTTTGACCGCTACACTACCGTCTACCCCATATGCTATAAAAACTCAAAAATTAATGGTGATATGCTATAAGTAAGGAATAGCTTACCCAAACCCTGTGAAGAAGTTGATCCTTACAACCAATGAAATATAGAGAAACAAAGCTATGAAGTAGCAAGTCCTGGAACACCCATCAAACTCTCCATAGATGGTACGCCAAGCAAGACTAGCAGCCGATGGAGCTGCTATAAACATGGAGTAAACCGGGTGTAGCTCCTTGGGCAAAGCTTCACTAGTTGGCAATCTCTGGTACAAAGTGACAAACAACACAAGGTAATGAGCAAAACCAACTGCCCACAAGAACTTTGCAGGCTCCTGCCACCCCACCTTGGAGGCTAAAATCGCTCCTACAAAGTTTCCAACGACCGAGAGGTGAGAAGACGGATTTGCCACCTTGCAAAGCCGCCTTTTACCGCCCGAAAGCCACTGGCCATAGATCTTTAGCTCAAGGAAGAAATAAGGCCCCATGAAAGCGCACCAAATTGCAGGGTGAAGGGTTGCCGGGGCAAGCATTGGCGGTACGGAAATGGACAAGAACATGCAGACAACCCAAGGGGCAAAGAAGAAGTTGACCCTTACCGGGTGAAAATACTCTCTTTTAACAGCCTCAAAGTAGAATATGCATTTGAGAATGTATGTGAAAGTGACCGAGACAAGAACTGCAAGGGCAAATAGCCAGAGGGCAAGGTTTATGAAAGGGCTAATGTGGAGAAACTCGACGGCGGGGCTTGTTGCAAGAGCACGCCACAAGACGGCTTGGCTGCTAAGGCCAAGACAAATACCAAAACACCCGATTGGAAACCGAAGGAGAAATGGCCATAGCTCGTCTTTTGGAAGAAGAATATCTTCATAATCCTGGTTTCATGCACATACAAGCTGAATATCTTTAATGGTGTCAAGCTTGGTTTCTTCACTTGTTAGTAAAAGATGCCAAATGTCAGTCATGATTGTTCTTAATCACCAATATTTGTCTTTTATTTAGTTAGAGACTATCACGTAAATTTTGTGGTCCTTGTGCAAAAATCTGGAGTCCAAGAGTTAGTATATGAACATGTGACAGACTAAAAAAACCTGTAGTTACCTTAATTAGTGTCAATTACGGTATAGTTATCCTAGTTAATTTAGGCCATTAAATTAATATAAGCACGTGCACATTAACGATACAGTAATTGTGACATGAGAATGAAAACAATGACTTCATTACTAAGAATTACTTATGCTCAACGTGATTTAGTGAAAATAAAGGGAAAAAATTGTCACATGAGAACCGTTAATACATGCACGTCAACGTTTAATTTGTTAGATAACATTGACGATCACACGAGATTATAGTATTGTGACTTGAAATGAGAGTGAAAACAATGACATCATTAATTACTAAATCTAACGATTTTAATATTCCTATAGTAACCTTACGGTAATATTAACTGAACCCTAATCTTAAAAGTACTTATATTATGTCTGATTCTGTGCCAAGGTCACCAGTGGTTGAACAAATAGCTTATTTAACATAATATGAAAAGTATTTTTATTTTATTTTATAATATGTCTATATTATCTGTGCATGACAAAGTTACATTTAATCAAAATCATAAAACACAAGAAGGGGTCATTTAATCATTTAGTAATGATAATATTACCTTTACTTGGTCTAACTCAGGACCTCTAAGCGCGGCAAAGTATCTCCCAGCAGGAACACTTTTATTAACACTCTCATCAAGCCCTTCAGACCCTTCAATATTCCTATGACACTCCATCTCTTTTTGATCCTTAATTCTAGATGGCAACAAAGAGTTTTGTTTACTGAGAGTTGATTTGGTCCTGAATATACTAAAGTCACCTTTCCTTCCCTCCATTCCGATCCTATTTTCCGAATCGAAACCTCCGAAACTCCTTCCACTTCTAGGAAGAGCCTTCCTCTCATGATCTCTGGCCTTGGACTCTCTGTTGAGCACAGAAAAGCCAGTCTCTAGAGAAACTTGCCTGCGGAAACTCCTGTGGCTTCTCTTCACGTCTCTTACTCTAACGTGTCGGTTAAAGCGCTTATTCTCTGATTTATCAGCCATAGTTGGATCTCCCTCTTCTTCTTCTTCTGGTAAGACCTCATGAATGTCAACAAAGTGAGTCTGGAGAGAACTCGGAGAGATTGGCCTTTCGTGATCCATTTTTGGCTTCTCCATAAGCCAATGTGAAATGAAACAAAAAAGTACCCTTTGAGCTGGTTTTTGCATGACTAATAATATATAGCCTTCAAAACGAGTGATATTTAGTTGCATGCTGGTCCATGTGTACGTTTGACGATTGAGGCTGCACAAAAAATTATGGGAAAAGTGGCCCTCAAGAAATGTAGGTGGGGGTTGTTCGGTGGATGAAATGGAAGCCATTACTTTTATGGAGAAAAAAGGTGGGGGTTTTAGAGGGATATCCCGTGAGAGGGATTAATCATCAATATTTGTGGCTTAAGATCTTTAGTTTTCTTTCATATTTGATGCCATGTTGGGGAAAGGAAAATGAAACTCTCAACGTATAAAACATAATGCAAAGGGCTTATTTCGACGTGTCACGGGTTGTACGTAGTTGTAGCTGTCGAAAGCTAGGAAATACCGATCGACCTCGAATTTGGGGGCTTATATACACGGGTGCCACCCTCATTATGGACAGAAAATTCCACATTAACACATTGGAATACTAAAAAAATCTCCGAGTTTATGGTGCTAGCCATTTGTGGCTAGCGGTATCCTACTGTGGTACTTGGGGATAGACTGCTGTAATAACCCGACTTAGGGGGAAAAAAAAACCAAAAATACCACTTAATATGGTAAAATAGTATTTATATCACTCTATTAAAAAATAAATAATTATCATTTAGTTAATAATAAAAAAAAGTTATAATAACACTTAATTATTTAAAATGACATAAATAGGAGATAAACAATCTCTTATAATGCACGAGTCTAGATTTTTACATTTGAGTCTTGATTAATATCCTTTCAGTAAAAAAATATTGATTAAAAGTAAAGATTAAAATCAAATCCATGCATTTTAAAGGGTAAGTTTAATAATTTCTCCATAATAATAAAATAAGTAATAGACTTGCACAAAATCACAACAAACCGTAGACTAACCATGCTACAAGCAAAGTCCTAGTATATTACTCAAGGTAGTCCACTGTGACACCAGAAAATATGACAACTGTATTTTTTTGCCCGAATATTAAAACACAAAAAAAAAAAAAAAAAAAAAAAACCACGGTGGCAACCAAGACGCACTATCGCTGGTCTCACCACACGGCAATGTGATTCCAGCAACAGCCACTCTAGAAGGGTGGCTCTGGGCGGCCAGGAGAGTAGGTGATTCTCCATGTCGGCGGTGGCGGGAAAGAAAGAGAACAGAAAGAAAGAAAGAAAAAACTCTTAGTGCATACAATTTTTTTTTGTCAGTCTCTCTGATAAAAAATACAAAAATTATAAAATAAGTTTTCTCGTGTCAAAGATGAACCAAAAAAAAAAAAGACTGCACGCCCCCTAATTATCTTCTCTAATTTACTCAAAAGATTTGATATATATCAGTTTTGAAACCCATGTTCAAAGTATGTTCAAAATATATACATGTTCTTTTAATATGACTCAGAGGTCTGTTTCTTCCGACTTTTAGTTTTTTAAGATTATGATGATCATAAATGATGAAATTAAACAACAAAAACTCTATAACAATCAACAAATGGGTATAAAGATTACAACTTTAAGATAATGAAATAAGATTATAAATTTTAAAATGGTAGATCTTTGTGTACAATATATGTAACTATTGTCATTATTATAAAAATTACAACTTTATAATAATTATCACTGTCAAAATATGAAAAAGTAGACATTTATTTTAAATTTTCTTACAATGGACATTTTATGTGAGTAGTTCAACGATAAAATGGTAAATAAACCATCAAAGTTTGATGGACTTTTGTCACTAATCATGTTGAAATAAAACAAAAAAAAATTCGAATATTTTACAAATAGAAAAAAATTCAAATCTTAGAATTACTATATAGTTATGTAGCATAAAAAGTGATTATCATAATAATAATTATTATGCAATTATGGTGTTCTTAAAATATTCTTAAAAAATTATTATATTTCAATTCTACTCTTGTAAATATGCGGTGTAGTGTAGTTTTTACTATATTTTATTACAGCCTCAATTTTCTTCAAGAAAATTGTTGAACTTACCCTTAAAGTGTTGGGTTATGATTTTTACCATTTTACTCTTGATTAATACTTTTTTAATTACTAATATAGTTATTTGACTAAAAGTAATATTAATCACGAGTAAGGGATACAAATCTAAACATATATACACTTTAAAAGGTATTTGTCTCATTTTCTTATTTTCTTTACAAAGTTCTGCGGACTGGCTAGCTTACCATGTTCACTTCTTTGGAAAAAATGCCTTCTACCTTTTTCATGTAAGTCCAATATTGTATTGGTCATAGATGCGGTAATTCACATAGTTTAAAATCTTTGTAATAACATATGGAAAAATATCATTGTGCCATTCGGCAGCCAAAAAGTGCCCACTAATACTGCCGTCCGAGGCCAGACTTAATGATTTCTAGGCTTTTGTTTTCTTCAATATGCTTATAGCACCAGAGCCTATAAATACGCAACAATTTCGACTTGCTATCATCACAAAACAAATTCACAAGCAGTTAATAATCTCCTTTCAAGGCAATTCCACTAGAGAGAACCAATCACTCAAAGAAGAAAATCAACACTAACGCACAATGGCCTCTTCCCAATACCTCCTCATTGCTCTTGCCATTATGGCAATTTCTGTCCCTTCAATTTCTGCAGTCGAATTCGTCGTCGGAGATGAGACAGGTTGGACAATCAACTTTGATTACCAAGCTTGGGCTCAGGGAAAGGAATTCTATGTTGGAGACAAACTCGGTAAACTCAAAATCTCTATCACAATACAATAATTAGATATACCATATGTGACTACTAGCTAATTATGCTCGAAATAAATGGTTTTGGTTTGTAGTGTTCAATTACCCACAAGGAGCTCACAATGTGCTCAAAGTCAATGGCACTGGCTTCCAACAATGCTCGGCCCCAGCAGGGACGGTGCCGCTGACTAGCGGAAACGATGCGATCACCCTGGCAACCCCGGGAAGGAAATGGTACATTTGTGGTTTTGGTCAGCATTGTGAAGTGGGAAACCAGAAGCTTGTTATCACAGTGTTGCCTAAGGTATCTTCACCTGTTCTTTGGCCTTCTCCTTCTCCTTCACCTTCACCTTCACCTTCTCCGAGCCAAGATCAACCGTCCGTGGCGAATATTAGCTCTGCATCTAGATTTGGCTTGATGGCAATCTTAGTGGGTGTTCTTGGAGTGTTCCTATCTTGATGGTTGAGCGAGTTACGATGTTTTATACATACGATTCTTTTGATATGTTTTTTTTGTGTGTATTGATCATTGTTGTTTGAGTGGTTTTGAATTTTTTTGTGGTGGGATTTTTGAACTATTGGTTTGATTTCTTTGTTGTAACACATATTTTGTCTTCAAAATAAAATAAATTAATTGATCTTTAAAGCAGCAGCCCTCATAATTTGGATTAAACTTTTGTTCTTCAACTGGTCGGATTAGTCTCATCATTTTTGTACTGTGAAGAGAAAAAGGGTCCTTTCATAAGCAAAATTCACATTGCAGCACCAAATTATTATTTCAAGGAGAAAACAAGTACATAAGAAGCAAATGGGGTCAGAAAATGAGATAAAATTATGCAAAGAATATGACAATTGGGTGGCCCTTTCGCCATTGTTTTCACTTGAATAATTGTGGCTATCGAAACACTTCAATTCTTATTACTCATCATCAACATGAAGCCTAGGCCGGTCTTGTCCGACCATGAAACACGTATTGCTCCTCGCATTTTCTTGCTCTTTTCTTATGAGAAAAATTGACTTAAAGCACGTGACAATAAAAAGAAAAATACTTGCACAAAAATGGGACACCGACGGTGTTTAACACCTTTAACTAATAAAAGATTGGCTCCGTCTGAAGGTATTAGGAAGCGCCTTTTATACGCAAAAGATGACACACATATAGAGATTGTCTCTAAAAGTGGCCGCTGGCCACTTCACTAGCTTCGTTATTATTATTTTTTTCATATTTTTTCATTTAAGGGGGGGTTTTTTTAAATAGGATATCTCTAATGGTTTTATTAGATTCCTATAACGTTAAAATAAAAAAAAATAGGGACTGTGTACATAATTAATGCTAAAAAACGTAACAAAGCACCCACATTAGTTCACATTTTCAGCACAACAACCATCACAAATGACATGGCGCGATCTGTATTGTAATCCACAAAGAGATTCCTCTAGGTTTCATTACGTGTACAAAATTAATAGAACTTAATAGAAAATTAACTGTTCAAACGTATTATTGGTAAGTTATGTTTTCACGGCTACCGAGGAGTTCTCATTTTTGACGCGCCCTCACTTTATGACTTTTGGAGAATGATGTTGTCGTTTACTTGTAAAAAGATCGCAATTGATTACCAAGGAAAAACTGGCTTCTTGACCGCCAAGCAATCAATTCAATCTACTATTTGCAGATAGTTTAAGCAGGAAAAACTATTACCTTTTATATGGTATTTCAGGTTTGTTTTGCTTATTACAAGCTTATTTGCAAAAAATGTGAATCTAGGTTATATTTAAAACGACTTCTTATTATTAGCACGCCAATGGAAGCTTGCTCAACACGCAACAAAGCTACAAGTCAACGACATCAACTTTTTTGCTATATAAGCAACGTATTAGATATGTTTATATTTCATCACACTATATATTATTTTACCACCCAGTGAGAGCAACAGCTCAAGTGAAAGAAAACGACTCCAGCCCCAATATGTCATCTTATACGCTTAATATTACTTAATTTGCCAGATTTAGCTCATATGTCCCCTTATTTGTATTCCCTTTTATATCCCCTAATAATTTATAGCCACCCAAGGTAATCACTGTGACTTTTTAATTGATGTGATATGAAATTTTAATTGATCTCACATGATATTATTGGAAGAACATAAAAGGGGTCACAAATAAAGAGACAAAGAAGTAAATTCCTAATTAGCCACCCAGAATGCGCTAAGAAATTTGACATTGTCATGCAAATAAATGTAACGAAAAAGGAGAGCCCCTAACTCTTGAACTTGCCAATTTCTCCTACAAATTTTGTTAGAATAAGTCTATATAATATCTCTGAGGCCAGATATGAGTCGTACGACGCTCACATAAGACAAGGATGGTAAATTCAAGCAAGCAAAAATGTTAGTTTTAACAACCACTAGAAAAATTTAAAGAAAATAAATACAAGGGGTATTTGTTTATGCCTTCCCTCTGTGATGCAGACAGGGCAGTTTGAGAGGAAGTACCACATAATCAGGCCAAAAACCATGGTGGCAAACCAGACATGCTTGTTATTACAGACAACATAACACCTAAAACCAAAGTTTGGGACTCTTCTGTCTTAAGCTAGAAAGATGTACGTCGCCTCCAAGTTAACACAAAATTGGTTTTGTAAATAAGTGCCATTTGGCAGTCATGGCAAAGTCGCATTTCTCTATGAATGGAAATTTCTAGTATGAAAAAATATAAAAACCATCAAAAAGAGAGTCAAAATTCTGTGGTCAGTTCTATATTCGGCAACTTTGAACAACCTCAGATGGTTCTCTCTCTTTGTGTGTCTGTCACACACATATAATCTTGAACCACCCAGATTAGCTTACGGTGAATTTTGGCCATCACTGAAGATAATAGTTTGTCAGTTTTCCAATCTCACAAGTCGAGAACTTTAATACTTTCTACAACATTCAATGAACTTCACATCTAATAATCTAGTTTAGGGGACCAAGCTTGTTCCTTTATGAGAACAAGTTCCTGTTAATTGTTTCACCCCAAAAAAGTTGGAAAAGCCAACGAGAAACTTTGACCCACATAAACTAGTAGACTCCCAAAACATGAATTAAGGCACTAAGGAATAAGGACACATCCTATGAGACACAAGAGTAGAAATCAAGCACTCAAACTCAACATATATCGCGCAAAAGGATTGAGATTGAATAAAATCAAGGAATCAATACAAAAATATAAATCCTGTCTGACAAATTGAACAGTGGAAGAATTAATTTCTCCTCCCACAAAATACACTGAGATTGATATCTTTAGCAAATGATTGTATGTGTTCAAGAGCAGAATACATCATATAAACCTATACGGGGTAAGGTAAATTGAAATAATATGCTCTTAGTCCAACCCTATTCAAGAAGAATTAAAAAAAAAAAAAAAAAAGGCATAAGAAAAAAGGCCATAACCATTTCGGCCTTTCCTTTCCCTTCATCCTATACAGTTCAATTGCATACGTGCTTGCAAATTTTCTTTCTTTTCTCTCCATTAAGCAGGAATCAAATTCAAAGATTACAAAAAAAAAAAAAAAAAAAAAAGGGAAATGGATGATTCAACCCCTCAAAAAAAAAAAAAAAAAAAAAAAAAAAAAAAAAAAAAAAAAAAAAGCGAGAAATGAAAGAATAAAAGAAAGGGAAGTAGAAGCCATACCAATCTCGATGGCAAATCAAAACGAATCCTTTTGAAAACTTTTGTTTCACTTTTGTACCGCTTTAGACCTCTTCTTAGCCTCGCTGTAAAGCACTACCCCCAATGTGGTGATGCCGAATCCGACTATTCCCATCGCCGTCACAGGATTCCTAAAGATCAACACCGAAACGCATGCCGCCACCGCTGCCTTGGCGTTTCCGAGGACCTGCAGCGTCAGCGCGCTGGTGTGTTTGGTCACCAGGAAGTTCGTCAAGTTCACCAAATACGCGACCGTCGCGTTCCCAATCAACAAAAACACCATGAACGGATCACTCCTAGCCTTCTCGATCGCACCGCTCGCGACATTGCCTTCGATGTAGAGCGTGAATGGGAGGAGAATCATCGCCGCCATTGGAGCCATGTAAAGCAATAGATTCATCGAGTGAAGCCTCTCGGCCTCGGAGGTCAGTAAAATCCCCTGGACCACGGATTTCAAAGCTCTGGCGGCTGTAGAGCTCACGCAAACCAGGAATCCAAACAGATTGAAGAGAGGCTCGCTATTCGACGCGAGCACGATACCGAAAACGACAGGCAAAAGAGCCAAGTACACCTCGGCGGACTCCTTCTTGCAGGTGATGAGGAAAGCGAAGATCGCGGTGAAGAACGGCCCCGTGGCGCCGACGGCCTGGTTGAACGACACCGGAATGTAGCGGAGAGAGGTGTTACCGCAGACGACGGAGAAGCAGAAGATCGCAGTTAGGGCGAAGATCTTCAGGAACTGCCGCCGCGAGAGGATGTGCTGGCGGGGGACGATCTCGAGGAATGTGATGGCGACGTAGCTGTAGGAGGCGCAGGCGATCATGTGGAGCATCGTCAGGAAGATCGGGTAGCGGAAGCCATAGATGCTGAGGAGGTACTTGTTCAGTAGGAGGACGCCGATGTTGGAGAAGTACCACGACGCGATGATCAGAGCCGTCAGCACCGTCGGCGATATCCGCGATCCGACAGCGTAGATTCCGCTGTTCCGTACATCTCCCGGAGGCGTCGCCGGAATGTCGATCGGCTGATCGTTCAGGGCGGCGGCGGTGGTGGCGTCCAGCCTCGGGTTGCTCATCCGACGCGTCGTCCATGACTGTGCCTCCACCATTGCACTGAAACCAACCGTACTTTCTCTCTCCCCAAGAAGTTCAGGTTCTAGAGAGAGAAAGAGCTAGAGAGAGAGAGAGAGAGAGAGAGAGAGAGCGAAGTAGAATTTTCTTGTCTCTGCGTTTGTTTATTCTCAGATCTGAACAGAGCAGAAAGAAAGAAGAAAGAGACGAGGAATTGAGGATGACGAAACGATAGAGCACGAAGGGAGTGAAACAGGAGAGGATCTAATCCAACGGTGGAGATTCAGATTTGGGTGGAACGTGGATTTTGGACCGTTCGATTACAAAATGCGATGAGGGCATTTAGAGGAGAAAAAATGAAAGAAAATAAAAAGAAAAAAGACCAGACCGATTAGTTCCTTGGGAAAAGAGTCCGCGGACTCACAGTGTCGGTATTGGCTAATCTTGATTTTAGTGTGGGCCCCAATTATTGTTGTGCGACTCTTGTCTGACTAATGACAATACTCGTTTTTCTTCTTTTTACGGTGTCGTTGGCTGTTACGGTGTCATATTGGTAATAAATTTAAGGCGGAGTTTATTTTATGGATTTAAATTTAAAGTTTGTGTTTTATTATAATAAAAAATTTTATATAAAATTATATCTTAATTTAAATTAAAATTTTAAATTAACGAATTAAATTGACTATGATTATCCATCCGTTTGAAAAAAAAATACTATTATCCACGTAGGACGAACGTGCAGAGAATGCTGTAAAAAATGGTCAAGTTGGTCCATTTTGTTTTTTAATTATAAATTAATGGAAGAGTTAAAACGGGGTGGATAAATTCATGGTTTAATGAGATCTAATTTAATGCTCACCTAATTTTATTGTTTATGCTTATTTTAAAGTAGATATCAGTTAACTGGATCCGAGTATGATGGGAAGATATGGGTTCATATATAATAGTGTATGGTTTTTTATATAATAAATATATATATATGAGTTTTCAAGTTAAATTATCATTGTTGGTTATCCTTTAAATAAAAAAAAATTAATGACGTAGTGTGATAAGAATTAAATTTCACTAGTTGTCATAAATTTTTTAAGTCAATTACTTAATTTATTATAATTATCGAATTAATATTTTACAATTAAAATAATAATACCTATTAATTAATAAATATTAGAATAACCATTAAAAATACATGTGTACATATATATACATTATACACGGTTCTTTTCTTTTAGTACCAATACTGGATTTTTTTTTTTTTTTTTTGGCTAATCGAAGACTTGGGATTTAAACAATTGCATACAAAATCAATGAAAAAATAATAAGTAGAACTAGAACTATATTAATTTGTGGGCACACTTCAATCAATTATGATTTCCCCAATTGAAAAGGACCCAAACCCGTTCCCACAACGAGTTGGGTTTAAATGAAAACATGATAGATTTTAGCTTTAGGGAGCGTTTGGTAGAGGGATTCGTTTCTTGATTTGAATCATGATTCGTAGTTCGTTATAGTATTTTCTCTCATAAAAAATACACGTAAATTAAAAATGATTCGAATCACATGGTTTGAATCCTCCGACCAAACGAACCCTTAGTTACAAGCATAATGCTTTTTGTTAAGTAGTGATTGTAAATACGGATACCGTTGCGTTTGCTGAACCTATGCAGAATCTTATAGATCAAGGCAAGCATTTGCCTTTTTTTTTTTTTTTTTTTTTTTGTGGGACCTATTTCCTTTCTTAAGGATAAGAAGATTTGGCTCACTGGTACACTACTAGGAGTCTAGGACCACTAATGTGATGAAATTAAAAAAAAAAAAAAACAACTGACGTATTTCTTGGAAAATTATTTTTAGCATTTTATTTTTTAAGTTAGACTCGAATTAATATTCAAATACACTCAATAATAGGGGAATTTCTCTAATAAAACTAGAAAAAAGAGCTATCGTGAGTTCTTTATTTTTCAGCCTTTAAATCTATATTAAAAATAGTTTATTGTGTACACTTATTAATTTAAATCTTTGATGTAATTTTTTTTTATTTTTTAGCCATTAAATCTATATTAAAAATAGTTTGTTGTGTACACTTATTAATTTAAATCTCTATGTAATTTTGATTGAAATTCAACAGTGATATTATAATAGCAAAGCTTATAAGGGAAAGTTCCAATAATAGATCAATTTGAACTTTGCTCGAGTGTTGCGTATATGTGTGAGGCCACGTGAGGACCAATATTTAGGCATAGTTTATTTTATCGATTCGAGTTTTTAATTTTAAGTTTTTATAATTAAAAGTTTTCAGAAAATATTACATCTAATTTTTTTTTTACAGTTAAAAACTCTAAAAAAATATCACGTCTCAACTCGAATTGAAAACTCAAATTTACAAAGCGAACGAGACATTAGTCACTAATTGATTTATGACATGTGGCGCTATGCTATGTGCAGATTAAAATGGACATGCGCGGCCGTGTAGTCACTATGGGACCCAGTCAGAGTATACATCAGGAAGAGGCACATGTCAGTGGGCCAAGGAAAGACAGGACAAGAGATGAGGAACCCAGCCCATAGAAATTCTTGGTATTGGTTGCAGGCTTGGGCTTCTGCAAAGCTTGGACTTTATCATCCAAAGTGGACCTTCACCTATGGAAAATTGGTAACCTCGTCGTCTTGCACTATCTAACATTTTTACTTTTTACTTTTAATTATATCATTTTGACTAATAAAATTTTTAAATTAAAAGTTATTAATCAAATAATAATGGGTAAAAATTTCAAGGTTTAATATTCTAAGAAGTATTTCTCTTCTTTTCCTTTCACTTCACTTATTTGTCCTCTCTTGTCTCTTTTTTAGGTAAAGTGTATTAGTCTGCATCAGAATTATCTGTTTTTGAATATTTTTAAATTTTAATATGTAATTTTAGCCGAATTTAATGATTAGAATCATACCGGTACGAGGACTTCTCGTAGAAAGCCTAAAAATTTTACGAAAATATTTATACGTATTTTTTCTTCCTTTCAAGTTCTGTTAATAAATAAATTAAGTAAAAATAAAATAAATATCACACTTCTCACCAAGTTATTTGATTGTTGGCACCATTCTACGACTAACATATGCGTAAATACACACATTTTTCCAGCAAAACACGTACACATTTACTCAAAGTAGGCGTCGGATGCTAAAAATCACGTGGCATAACCTGAAATCTAACTCAACTAGAGCTCTTTGGCAATTATCAAGTCTGCAAAAGGGCAAAGCTTTCGTAGTTGCAGTTTACATGGAAGAACTTTTACAACTCATACCCATTTCAACGACCAAGAAATCACTCTGCGCTGGCTCATTCTCTTAATTCAAAAGCTTCCAAAACTACTCATTAAGGATGTAAACATACGAAAAAAAAAAAAAAAAAAAAAAGCCCCCTTAAAAATGAAAAAAAAAAAAAAAAAAAAAAAAAAAAAAAAAAAGTCCCCTTAAACATTATCTTGCAAAACCACTTGGAAGCCAAAACTCTCAAAAAAAGTTTACAAAACTTGTCACAAAGCTTCTCAGGCTATCTAATACCTTTCATGGAGAACTAGACTCTTTTAGGATGAAAAACCAAAACTTGGAAAAAGAGCACTAGAAGTGGCGCTTACCGGGAGTGAAATGGAAAGGTCGGTCAAGTTTGAACCAATATTAACAACATCTCCATGACTCGTCATATTGTTGGAAGTTGTAGTAGTACCACGACCAATATTTATATCATTATTATTATTATTATTATTATTATTATTATTATTAGTAGGACTATTATAGTGAGTAGAGTCCACAAGCTTTCTTGAACGGTGACGACCTCTATGCATGTGCCTGTCGCAATACTTTTGATGCGGAAGAGCTTCTTTCCCACACCTCCATTTCTTCCCATCTGTTCTTCTGCATCTCCATGTTTCTGCCTCAATGCCTTTCCTAGAGTCCAAACACATCGGGCTAATTCCTATAGCAAAAAAAAAAAAAAAAAAAAAAAAAAAAAAAAAACCCACGAGTCAAATCTCTCATAAATTGCAAAAGGATCAAATCCCAAGTGGGATTTTTTTTTTTTTGGGTGTGTGGCAAGACTCACAAGTGGGGTAGTTGCCAAAGGAGTTAGAGAAGCTCTGCCAAATGGGGAGAACAAGGTGATAAGGAACAGGAAGACCGGCCTCTATGTATTTGTAGATAAGGGCCTGAAGTTGAAGCTCTTGAAGCTGAAGAATTGTGAAACCAAGAAATGATCTTTTACGGCCGTCAAGTTTCTGACCCGAAGACCCTCTTCCAAGCTCAAGATTTAGCCTAATTGGAGGCGACCCCTCTTCTTGAACCGACCAATTAGTAGTAACATTATTACTCTCCATTTCTTTAGAACCTGTAAAATAACAAAATGATCAAACAAAACAAGGAAAATTGTGGCTTAAATGAAGTGAAAAAAGAAAAAAAAAAAGAGAGAAAAAAAGAAAAGGGTGATACCTAAAGTAGGGATTTGAGACTCCATATTATCAAGAAGTTGTAAGGCAAAAAACCAAATAATATGGTCAAAGAAGAGAGTTTGGATTTTAGAGGGCAGACAGTATGGACTGCCTGTGCCTGAGTAACTGACAAAAAGCGTTAGATTACGATTCACATCCCCTGCAAAAGATGGCAGTAGTAGTAGTGATAAAAGGTTCTCTGTTTAAAAACTGAAAAATCTATAAAAGAAAAGGAAAAAAAAAAATCCCAGTTGGTTTTTTTTTTTTTTTTTTGTTGGTGAAAAAGGAGAAAAAGGGTCTCTGACTCTATTTCCAAAGAACCACCACATTTGCTTTTGAGTTTTGTATGTTTTTGTGTACTCTCTCCCTCACATTCAACAAATGAAAGAGGAGAGAAGAGGACGCTACAGAAAGAGAGAGAGATGAGATAGGAGGTGGGACTGGCACGGTCTTCTGCCAGATGTCAGAGCTGCTGTTTTGTAACTTTAGAGAGAGAAAGACAGAAGAGAGAGAGAGAAGAGCCAACGCGTGACCGCAGTTGATGTGGAGCCAACATCAATATTTATGGCTCATCACAGACTCTCACTACCTTTGTCTCCATCGTGTCTGTGCCTGTGGTCCAGTGGCAAGGCTTTGTTTCCGTACCTGAAGCAGAAAGTTAAAAAAAATTTAAAATTCGTTTTAAAATAATTTTATTCTTTATATAAAAATAAAAATAAATATATTTGTATTTTTAAATAAAAATTAAATTAATAATTGAATCTTAAATAAAAATATTAATAATTAATATAATAATTTAAATTATATTACAAATAAATAGTAAATAATTTAAAATAAGATAATTTAGTAAATAATTAATTGGCTATGTGGATCTCTCATAGTTTCAGTTAACACTCTAGAATCAGCAGCCCTATCTGGTATTGACGTAAGTGAAGAATATATTGAAACTACACGCCGCCATTACATTTTGAGTACACGAATGTCTTCTTTCTTCATAGACTGTCTGTTGATGTGTAGGTGAGACAACCATTATGTGTGTACCGTCTATTGCACTAATACAATCCTATTAAAATACATAAGGTGTGAGTTATAATTAATTTAAAATTATTTGTCATATTATTAGTTTATGAGCAGAGTCAGATTGTATCTTAAACCATAGCCAGTACTTAGGGTTGTATCGAATCTCTGGGGGGACGATGTTCATATTTGGTAGTTTTATAACTTCCACATTAGCAAAATACCAGCGTGCTGTCTCTCTAGAATGAATAAATTTATCTTGTATCTCTCTATTGTGGTCTGAGTGAGCAATCGTTCTTAAGAACATCATTAGTGATTCTTTTGTTGATATACTTGAAAAAGGCAGTAGGTTGCAATCTTGAATTAACCTAACAATTGCTTCGAGCGTGTCTCGGTGCATACGACACATTTCGAACATATTTTTAGGATGCCCATACAATTGTTCTAAAGCATATTCTCATCCTGTTAACGCAGAATTACAACGAGGTTGCCTATTAAGTCTGTTTGTAAGCGACATCAGCAATTAGACAGAAATGTTTTGCTCTTCATCATCATCTGATGAGTGAAGAAAGTCCACAATTATGACATCATCCTCACTATTTGTGGCATCAGAATCCATATTACCCTAAAACAGAAACATGACTAGAACTAATCAAACATCCATATAACATTAACCAATCAAACAAATAACAAAGTCTAACAAACACAAGTTTGAGAGGTAGTTTAGGCAGTATGTTCAACAATACTTAAAAAAAACACATGTCCGAAAGGAAAAAAATAAAGAAAACATCACAAATAAAAGTCATCTAAATTATAAGCTTTGAATCCATGAAAGATGACAATGAGGCATTTTCACAAACATCTTCCTAAAGGAAATGTCAATAGCCAACTTCTCTGCTGCCTTATTATACACATCGTCGACTAAGTACTCCTCATACTCGCTCAGTAAATCCATACAGGTTTCGATACTTGTAGTAGGATCCTTTTTTTGAGCCTCGGCTGCTGCCATAGTACGGGCTTGCCTATCAGCTAAATATTGCTGTAACAAATCAACTTTTTGAACAGATGTCTCACTGTGTAGGGTAACATTCTTTGCCAAAACCTCTATAGCCTCATCAACTGTAGCCTTCTTATTGGATCAAGTAAGAAGACCTTGAGACCATCTGCTTCTATTGTCTTCTGAATCCCGGACTTCATCCGAGTCCCCTGTACCCTCATCTTCCTCTTCAGGTTGCGTGGCAGTCTTTTTCGCCGCATTCAAAACATTGACGGCTGTATGTGCATTCATTGACCCCTGTCTTGTAGCGATAATCCCAACAAAAATCTCTGAAAGTTTGGCAAAGTTGTGTAAACCCCATTTCTTGAATTTCTTAGCTCCAGGATGTTTCTGACATTATAAATAAAACAATAATAAATACTCATGTGCAATCCAAAACACTAATTAATTCTTTCATATCACATAAGATGGTTGTGATCAAAACTTACCGCCACATATGAATCTCACACTTCTTTTTTAGCCGTGACAGTGTTAGCCTTAGAATCTCAACTAAACCCAATTGTTTCAATCAAAGCCTGAAACTCTTTCGTACTACGTTTAAGCCTATTCCATTTTACTTTAAGCCGGTCTAATGTGAAATGCTTATCAAACTTACGTGCTATTGCATTATCAATTTTCATCCACGTTTTTTTGTCCAATGTGGATGTATGCAAACCATTCTTTGCCTCCTCATATATCAGTTCTACATAAAAATCCTCAATTGCAGCAGGCCATGTTGTATTATCATCCTTATCACACATCTAAAAGAATAGTTTCATTCAGAATTAAAAGAAATCCTAGTCTACATACAAGCAGTACTGTTCACCCTACCATTTGAATATCAACCGGTTGAGTTTCTGCATAAAAATCCTCAATTGCAACCAGTTGAATTTTTTTGCATATTTTCAGTTTCACAGCAACCATACACTTTGAATATATATCTTTAATCCCACAAATCCGAGAAGAGCAAATATCACCCAAAAATCAGTCCATACCCAGAAATCAGTCAACGCGAGAAATCCATATATCAGTCCATACCCGTGAACAACAAATCAAGACAAAAAAACCCATCCATACCCTAATGGTAAAAAACAAATATCACACAGATCAGGATTGCCGAGAACAACAAAAAATCATGTAAACACCCAAAAATACCAGAGAATAGCAAATCATGATAAAAATAAGCAAAAAAAACACCTAGATCATCAGCAACTACCGACAATAATCGAAAAAATCTTCACCAAATCAGCATAAATACCAGAAAAAAATACCTAGATCATCATGCAATACCGGCAATACTCCATCAACTCATTGGCAAATAAAAAAAAATATCAACCTAAACACCCAAAAAATCCAGAGAACAGGCAAATCACAACAAATACTAGGAAAAAAAACTCCCAGCTCCTTAATTAAAACCGGCAATACTCAAAAAAATCTTCACCAAATCAGAACAAATACCAACCTAAACTCCCAAAAATACCCAAGAACAGGCAAATCAGAACAAATAAAAAAAAACACCCAGATCATCATGCAATACCGGCAATACTCCATCAACTCATTGGCAAATAAAAAAAATATCAACCTAAACACCCAAAAATATCCCGAGAATAGGCAAATCACAACAAATACCAGGAAAAAAAAACTCTTAGATCCTTCAGCAAAACTGGCAATACTCAAACAAATCATCAGCAAATCAAATTAGTGGGCATACGTCGGTTGATTTGGGGAGTAGCGGCAGAGCAGAGTCTGAGACCGGAGAATCAATCGGAGAAGAAGGCTGCCGTTTAGATCCCAAGACTAGTGATTCCAGCTAGAAGCCTACCACAAAGAAGAAAAGAAGAGAACGGCGAGAGGGAGAGAAGAGAACAGCGCAGCGGGAGAGAAGAGAACGGCGAGATGCGGAGAAGACAACGACGAGAGGCAGAGAAGAGAACAACGAAAGGTGGAGAAGAGAATGGCGAGAGGCAGAGAAGAACGACTGGAGAAAATGAAAAAGGGAAAAAATAAAAACATATTTAATTGTTTTTAGAAAAGTGAAAGTTTTTGAGAAAAATCTAAAAACGTTTTTGTTTTTTATTTTGATTTTGGTATGGTACATCCCCAAACGTGATTTTCTTTTCCGTTTCAATTTTTCCTCAGAAAACGTGAAAAACTTTTTCAAAACCGGAAACAAACGCGCCCTGAAAGTCTCAGGTCAAGTCTAGGCGAAGCCATCAGTGTCTGAAACTACACCACGACGCCAGCTTTGTACGTTTTCGGAATGTCCAAAACTCCAATCAAAGAATGAGAGTTTGGTAAAAGGGAGAAAGAGGGAAACAGACCAAAACTTGAGATGAATTAAAATTAATAGGCCAATAGTTTACATAAGTTAATAAATAGGCCAAATTACTGTTTTTGTCCATAACTTGTCTAGTTACGAACCGTAACTTGACAAGTTATTATCCATAATTCACAGTTTTTGTCCACAACTTGTCTGGCTATGAACCATAACTTGACAAGTTTGTCCATAACTTATCTGGTTATGAACGATAACTTGACAAGTTATGGCCTATTAATTTCTATAACTAAAAATTAGCCTATATACTTTCTTAAACTTTTTATATTGGCCTATTTTCTACTATTTCTGTTGGTAAAATTCTTATCTTCAATGCAATGAGAAGGAGAAAGGAAAATGGAAACTCAAAATAAGTGGAGATTTTCAGTGCAAAACTATGTAGATTCGATGTTGATCTTATTGGGAAAAGCACGTAAAAAAAACGAATTAACTTTTGTATATAAGGATTTATATCGGTTTGGACTTATGGGACAGTATTTGCATTTGCAGGCCGCAACCAAATCAAAAACTAGAATTGAGGTCGATAAATACCTGAAAACGACAATTAACGTGAGAACGACAGAAAAGGGAAACTACAATAAAAGTGCGGACGCCAGCAAAATATAAAACGACAAGAACTAGAATTGAGGTAGTAAGTTACCATATAAATGAAAAACGACAATACATGACAATCGTGAAAACGACAAAGCAAAGATAAAATCACAACCTTATAAAAAAATAAACGGAACTATACCAAAAAGCATAAAACACAACAAATTAAAACGACAGTTAAGCATAACATGAAATAGATATACTACATAAAAATTACAACAGCGAAAGTATAAAGCGACTGTAAAAGACAATAGCTCGAACAAGATATTGAAAAGAAAAGAAACCATGTAAACGACAAAAGGACAGAAAACGACAAGATAGAAAAAAAAACCGTTAACAAACAACAGGTGGGCGGCAGCAAATGTATAAAGAAACAGTAAAATTAAAAACGATGATACCAGAGAAGAAGTGGAAAACGAAATTGAAAACTAAAACAAAAAACAAATGGAGAACGATAATTAAACAAATGTAGGAACAATATGATATGAAAAACAAAAACGACAAGAAAATTGAAAACAACGATAAACGTGGGGAGAGTGAAAAGAAGGGAAAGGAAATCTGTAAAAAAGGGTCATCAATATACTGGTAGTGCGTAATTAAGTACTAGAAGAATGTTATTCTCAATACGACTTCTCTTGCCATTGGCTGATTTACGCCACATGGAAGCATTCATTCATCTTAAAGACGACAAGAAAACTTGGAACTAATGACAATAAAACTGCAAACGACAAAAATATGAGTATATGTTTGTTTCTGTACTCTCCAAATATATAAACATAATACATGCAATGTCTAACTTATTAGAATTTTAAGAAGAATCTATATTGGTTCAAACATTTGCATTGTCATCAATGCATCAAGCGTTCGAGAAAACCATAGAGACCAAAAAAAAAAAAAACATTCAAAAGAACTTTAAAGAAATTATTAAAAAAAAAAAGTAAAAGAAACAAACAAACAATTACAACAACTAAGCAAGAATGAATAGAAGAAATAAGAATATACAAAAGGTACGACTGACAGAAGATAAACGACAATAGAAATGGGGCAACGACATCACAATTGTCTGCAAATATGATAAAAGTGAAAACTGACAGGAGAATACAAAAACGCAGAAAAAACGCAGAAAAATGGCGTCGCCCGGACTCGAACCGGAGACCTTCAGTGTGTTAGACTGACGTGATAACCAACTACACCACGACAACTTGGTGTCACTTTTTTAAAAGTAGTATTTATTATTTTTTATTTTTCGTAAACCTTTTTCTCTTCAGTTACCTCTCTGACTTGCATTACCAGTTTATTCGTATCAGCTTTTCTTGTACCATCGCTTTGTTAAGGTTCGATACATATGAACTTTCATTCACTATTTTCATTTGCTTTAAACTATTTTTTCCCCTTCTTCAATATAAAAACAAAAATAAAATAAAATAAAGAAACTAAGCAGAATATAGGATAATTTAGACTAATGTAACTAATAGAAACGTTTAGTCGTCTAAACTAAACAGAATATGAGATAATTTAGACTAATGTAACTAACAAAAACGCTTGGTCTAAATTATCTAAGAGAAAAAGAAAACAGGAATAGAAATTTAATTTGACGACTTTTAAAATTCTCAAATGGCTATTTGTTAAGTTATAGAAGCTCCTTTCTTGTTTTTTTTTTTTTTTTTTTTCCTTGATGGCTTCCTTCAGTACATTTTCAATAGACGCTTCCTATTTTTCAGTATATCTAAATTCTAACATTGCCATGCAAAGTGGGCAATTTTCATTGGAAAAAATAATATCTCAAATTGACTTAGAATTTGACAATTACGTATTCAAGCGGAAAGCCATCAGAGCTATTGATTTATTCATGCACGATCCAACGATCAAAATCAAATGTTTGTAATTAACATATACTTCTGTTGTAATAGTTATGTCTTCTCATGAAAATGCACTTTTTAATTAAATGTTGTAGAACAAATTTCTTGGTTGAAAGTTGAATAAACAATTTGATTGCCTCTATATATATATATATATATATATATATATATAGTACAGGTTTATAATTTATTTCCAAGCTTTTTTTGTGGAATTATTTTAAACTTTAGCTGAAAACGTAATTGTAGGATTTCTCACCTTGTAAAGATCAAGTAAAGAATCAAGTGTCATAATGTTTGTTTTGTATATCAACCTATGATTCAGAAAAATTGATGAGGAATTCATCTTATTAGCAAATAACGAAAAGACATAATTTCTGCAGTTGTACTGGCTTCTAAAAACAACAAATAATTATAAAGGAGCGAAAGATAAATAAGAAGAGAGAAGTAACCCACCCAACATATATAATAATATATTTGTATATAATCACCTCTTATTGTTATCTCAAAAGGCAATGTTAATCTAAAGAGCTACAGCTAATTAGGTACTTAATCAGAAACAACAAGTTTCGGTCCAATTACCCAAAACATGCCTTTTGAAAGACCAAAAGTTTTATCAAATCAATTGACTAATCTATCTAGGCATTCATACAAATCTCTTAAAAGCCATTTAGGGGGGAAAAAAAAAAAAAACTAGTATCGAATTCAAAACCAAAATCATTGGAACCCTTTTTACTATATATAAAGGCGTGTGTATGATAATTGTTGAGAAGCAAACAAAAGAAAGACCAAAAAAAAAAAAGAGAAACAGAAACTTAGGAGCTTTGCCAATTATGGAGCTCGTCATTTGTCTCTTAATCCTCGTTATTCTCATGCCTAATCTTTCTTCCTTGGCTGAGAAAAACGACGTAGGGACATATATCGTTTATGTGAACAAGCCAGAGAGTTTAACGACAATGGCAACAGAGGAATTACACGACTGGTACCAATCATTTTTGCCAGTTATGAGCATGGAAGACGAAACTAGTTCAGCCCAGAAGCCAAGCATGGTGTACTCATACAGACATGTTCCTGGATTTGCGTTGAGGTTGACTTCTGAGCAAGTCAAAGCCATGGAGAACAATGATGGAATTGTGTCTGTTCGTGAAGAGAGGACTTTCACTTTGCAAACAACTCACAGTCCTCAATTCTTGGGGCTGAACAAGGACAACGGTTTCTGGAAGGACTCCAACTTCGGACAAGGTGTGATCATCGGAGTTCTTGATTCCGGTATAGTGTCGGGCCATCTTTCTTTCGATGATAACGAAATGCCGTCTTCGCCGGCGAGGTGGAAAGGCATGTGCGAGCCGATCAATGGCACTGACATCTGCGACAATAAGATCATCGGCTTCAGAAGCTTCAACAGCTCCCGAAAAGGAGGACCAATGTCGTCTTCGTTGTCGTCACAAGAAGAATTTGGTCATGGCACGCACACTGCAAGCACGGCGGCAGGGGCCTTCGTGGGGGGCGCCACAGTGCTGGGAAACGCCAACGGCACGGCCTCAGGAATGGCGCCCCGAGCTCACCTAGCAGTTTACCAAGTCTGCGGCGGCACGGTCGGCTGCTTAGAGAGCGATGTCTTGGCGGGGTTTGATGCCGCGGTGGACGATGTCGTCGACGTCATCTCCATCTCACTCGCTGGCTGTGGTTCACGTGCTCTGTACCACGACGCTATTGCAATAGGCTCTTTCAGCGCAATGAAGAGAGGGATATTCGTTAGCTGCGCAGCAGGCAATAGTGGTCCGTACAACTACACTGTCTCCAACGACGCTCCTTGGATGCTCACAGTCGGAGGTAGCACCATGGACAGAAGCATAAGAGCCGGTTTAAAGCTTGGAAATGGGGTCGAAATCCACGGGGAATCGATCTTTCGGACTAACACTTTCGACTCCAAAAAATCGCTACCTCTTTTTTATCCAGGCGGGAGCAATTCTAATTACTGGCCTGAACGGTGCGCCAGTGGAACTCTAAACAGGACGGGTGAAGTTGACGTGATGGGGAAAATAGTATTGTGCCAAAGATCAAGAGAAGTGAGGAGATTAGAGCAAGAAAATGAAGTAAAAGATACAGGTGGAATCGCAATGATACTTATGAACCAAGAGCTCGACGGGTTCAGCACAATGGCTGAAGCTCATTCCCTTCCTGTAGTCCACGTGAGTCTCTCAGAAGCTTCCAAGCTCATAACATACATAAACTCAACCTCAAACCCTGAGGCAAAGCTAACATTCAAAGGCACTTCAATAGTGGAAAAATCTTCTGCTCCCATGGGGGCTTCATTTTCTTCCAGAGGGCCGAGCTCTGCGAGTCCCGGGATACTTAAACCCGACGTTATCGGTCCCGGAGTGAGCATACTAGCGGCTTGGCCAATCTCTCTCGACAAGAAGCACAATCCAATCTCGTCGTTCAATGTCATGTCCGGGACGTCCATGTCATGCCCTCATTTGAGCGGCATCGCCGCTCTCCTCAAGAGCTCTCACCTCGATTGGTCTCTGGCGGCAATCAAGTCTGCAATCATGACGACGGCTGATCCGTTAAACCGGGAAGGCCCAGCCGATCCCTGACGAGAAACTCAACTTCGCCAACGTCTTGGCCATCGGCGCAGGCCATGTTAGCCCCACTAGAGCTAATGATCAGGGACTTGTGTACGACATAAAACCTGAAGACTATGATTCTTACGAGTGCGGCCTAAATTTCACAGATAGAAACGTGGGGATGTTCTTGCAGAGGAAAGTGAACTGTTCGGAAATCTTAATAATATGATGAGTAATTTGTTATATATGTTGGTGGGACCAGATCTTCTGCTAAACTCTAGAAGAATGCTTGACAGGAAAACCACCAGATTTGAGTAATCTAAGGGTATTTGGTTGTGCATCCTATGCACACCAAAGGGAAGGAAAACTAGACCCAAGGTCCATAAAAGTCATTTTCTTAGGCTATTTAGATGGGGTTAAAGGTTATAGGTTGTGTAAAACAAGGTCCTTATTTCAAAATCCTAATAAGTAGAAATGTAATCTTTAATGAACATGATATGCCATATCTATCAAAGGAAAAGGATACTGCTGTCTGTACCGATTTTCCAAGAACAAGACCGTCAACAACTCAAAAGCTTCAAGTGGAGGTAGACAAAATCACCACATCAACAATGAATGATGAGGATATAAATCATCCAGCAAACAACAAATCCCAACAAAGTGAAGTCCCTTAAAGCACGGAACCGGAGCAAGAAGAAAATGAAGAAAACAGCACTGATTTTGTTCAAGAAATCCAACCAGTCATTAACTTGGATGAGTATGTTCTATCAAGAGATAGGCAAATGAGGACGATAAAACCACCTGATAGATATTTAGGTAGCAACATGATATCTTATGCATTGTACACTGTCGCAGAATTGGAAGATAAGGAACCTAGGACTTTTGGAGAAGCCATTCAATGCTCAAAGTTTAGAAATTGGAAGGCTGCAATGGATGAAGAAATGCAGTCACTAAAGAAAAATAATACATGGGTGCTAGTGGACAAACCAAAGAAGCAGAAAGTTGTCGCCTGTAAGTGGATATTCAAAGTCAATGATGGTGCTACTTTGAATGAACCCAAGAGATTTAAAGCTCGTCTTGTAGCAAAGGGTTTCACACAGGTAGAAAGGATTGACTACACTGAAGTCTTCTCTCCAATTGTGAAGTAAAACAATCAGGACAATTCTTGCCTTAGTAGCTTACAAAGATTGGGAGTTGGAGCAAATGGACGTTAAGACTGTTGGTCTCCGAATCGAATTCGGATGCGGAAGCGTGGTAGTGCGGGGGGAAGAGGCGGATCGTGTATAACAAAAATTTTCATAAAACTTTTGAGATACTCTATAGATTATATTAATTTATGCACGAATAAATTAATCTCATTAACTTATATATATCAAGAACTCAATCAGGAAAAATACTTGGAAGCCGACTCGGATGATAACTTGAGTTCTTTGACCACGAACAGTCCTTGCTCCAATCTTTGTGTTTAGAAAACCAATGTCTTCCACATCAATTCCTAGAATCCACGAAGACGTGTGTGTGGGCACACATGAGACAAAACGGGTTACAATAAACACTCGAATTTCCACAAACACCAACGCATGCACGATGTGAAATTTTTGGAGAAAATTTTTTTTTCCTTCCTCTCTCTCTTGAGAATTTCGGCCAGCCTTAACTCTTAGGGCTGAAAAATTGTTTCCAAAATTTCTATAGAGAAATTTCGGCTACCTCTAAAATTAGGGCAAAAAACCATTCCGAAAATTGTCTCAAAAAATAGTATTTACAGAGTAGAAGTCAAACTTCTAGAAGGAATCCAATCTCTATCTCTAAGATAAAGCTTGTTAATTATCTCCTATTTGAATTTTAAACCAAATCTCCTCTTTTCCTCTATCCTATATGGCCGGCCATTCTAAGGGGATTCTCATCCCTGTGTGGCACCAATATTAGATAGGGAAGAAAGAGAAAATCATCATTTATCCTGTAGTCCAATTTTGACTCAAATTCAAATTCCAATTTAAGTCAAACTTAAATTAATTTGAATTCTAAATTGAACAACTTATCAAATAAGTTTAAATGGATAAATCTAGAGGTGTTCAAATTCAAATTTAAATAATC